GTACATATTTTTTTTCAGAAAAATGCCTTGGCTTCTGAGGTATACGAGCAAGTATTCTACTCTTTGGACCTTGAAGAAAGAGATTACTTTGGTTTACAGTTTACTGACCACTACCATGTTCATGTAAGCATTTTTTATTTTTATCTAAACCCTTTACACTTCGTTTTCTTCTTGGCTTTTGTGTGTTCTGACGTTTTGGGGTTGCATTCTCAACACTTTTATCCGTGCTTAAAGATACCGCTTGCCATAGATTTGTCCACCTTTCTTCCTCATCGATGTCAATTCATTTCAGCACTGGTTGGATCCGATGAAAAAGCTCGTGAAGCAAGTTCCTATTGGGCCACCGTACACATTCCGTTTTCGAGTGAAGTTTTACACTAGTGAGCCAAGTAATCTTAAAGAAGAGCTCACAAGGTACACTCATTCTATTGTTTCTACTCACTTGTGTTTATCTGTTGACTGCTTTGAAAGCTCTCAGAAAGCTGAACTACAAAGTATCAAGCTGTTGTGGGCTAGGAAACAGCTTTTACCAAGAGGTGATGTTATCACTGGATATCGCTGATGACCTTCGTGTTACAGGTACCAATTTTTCCTTCAAATCAAGCAAGACATTCTCTTTGGTCGGCTTCCATGTAGCAAAGAGGTAGGAGTGGAACTAGCAGCGTATGCTCTACAGTGTGAGTTTTATAGCAATTAGTGATGAAATATTTATAAAAGTGTAGTTCATTTATATTAAGGCGCGTGTAGCGCAGCGGTCGGAGACGCCCTGCAATACATACACATCGCATCGATCCCAGCGCCGAAGGCTCACCAAGCCTTCCATCCCTCTGGGGTCGGCAAATTGGTACCAGACTTGGCTGTATACATGGGTAGGCCACCGCGAGTCATTCTAAAGGCCAGATCTGCAGTCAATCACTTCCAAAAACTCTTAGTGAAGTCGAATGCTCTTGCATCTCTCAGGGATTGATCAGCGCGGACAACTTCATCCTTTTTTATCCTTTAGTTCATCTATTGCTTTGAATAATAAAGAGAATTTTTCAGCCGAACTTGGAGACTACAATCCAAGTGAACACAACGCATTGTTCATTTCACAGTTTCGGTTTCATCCAGAGCAGGATGCTCAGATGGAAATTGATGTTTTGGAACGATTCAAATTGTGCAGGTATTATATAACACAATGTTTACTTTTTTATGTGTAACACTTATTCTTAACGAAGTTGTAACATTTATTCTTAGCGAAATTGCTCTGTCATTTTCTTTCAACATTTGGAAATCAGCCGTTTGTTAGAGGTCAAACTCCTGCACAGTCTGAGGCAAACTACCTTAGCAGAGCGAAGTGGCTTGAACTTTATGGTGTTGACATGCATACAGTTGAAGGGAAGGATGGAAACCAGTAAGTCAGAGTAGCTTAAGGAAATCTGTTATTTTGACTCTTATGAATAAACTGTGTCTGCTTTCAAAAAACGTTCGATTATTCGGAAACAAACTATGTGATTTCGAATTTGTGCTGAGTTGGTGAGCTCAAAATCTTTGGAAGTAGGGTCGGATTTGTATGGTTATCCATTTCCGAAGTTAAAAACGAAAAAATTGTGAATCAAAACGTGTTGCTTATATTTGGATTGTTCACTATCTTAGTGAATTCAAAGCTGAAACAAGTGTCCGACAAAGGATCTTGAATTTGTTGTTATAACTCTCTTGTAGAATTGATATCGTATTAGTTAGAGTGTTGGTTTTCCACCTAAGCACCTTAGATTTTCTTTTCTGATCACAGTATTGATAGATCATTCAAGTCATTGAATCTGTTTGTTTCGCTTTTAAACAAGTCAAAATTTAAAATCGAAATGGATTTCCTTACTTACGAAAGCTGTTTTCACGTCTTAGTATTGGGATAATCTTTTCTTGGTCTACGAAAAAGTAATGAGACTATTTTATTCCTCATGACAAGATGTTGTTTCTTCAGCTCGTTTTTCTCGTTTCTAGTTAAACAGCGGTTATTTCCGATTCAGAAAGTCAAAGGATATATTGAACTCAAACTCTGGAAGCGGTTCACTTATATGATGAATTCCTCGGAGGACACTTTTAATTTAGGTATTCCCTGGGACTAACACCATCAGGAATGTTGGTGTTCGATGGCACTGAGAAAATTGGACTTTTCTTCTGGGAAAAGATTCAAAAACTTGATTTCAAAAACCGGAAAATCACTCTTGTCGTTGAAGAAGATGCTGACCAGTCGGTAGGTTCATAGAGAATATGTATAGCCTTCTTTTGCACACTGGAAAACGTTTGCTTTCCATATGTTCATTTGTTTATCTGCTATTGTTCTTCTTTTGTTTGTTCACTCTTTTTTCTCTAGTTTTCCTTACATTTTGTTTGTTTCACTGGTGATTTTTCTCAGCGTTGCAGGCCAACGGACAAGTGCAACTTCATACATTTGTCTTCAATTTGGCATCCCACAAAGCTTGTAAGCATTTATGGAAATGTGCCATTGAACACCATACATTCTTTCGGCTGAAAACACGTTCATGTGTGAAACACTCACGTTCGCAGCTTTTTCGTCTCGGCAGTACCTTCAAGTATCGGTAATAATTTTTTTTCAAATTATAGTTTCAGTTGTTTTATTTGCTGCCAACTATAATTTTTCACGTTTCACGAAAAGGTATAATGTGAAATACAGCAACAACGACGCTGAGATATTCACAAGACGTAGACTCTGGCCCAGATCAAACCACGATTACCCTTTCCGGGGCTCGCATATTACATACTGCACCACGGAGGCCCTTGTTTGCGTTTCTCTCAGCTAGTTTTCTATCTAGTGTAGTTGCGGTTTTTCAATCTTTCTGTTATATTTAGACTATTGATTAATGTTTGTAGCGGTCGCACTGAGTATGAAGCTGTTCATAAAGATGGGGCACGTCTCTCACGTAGAACAACATCAACATTTGAAAGAAGACCTAGCCAGAGATTTGGGCCGAGACAGAGCCATGCTATAGTAAATGTGTTAACTGAAGCTGAGGTAAGATAAGTACTTGAAAATATCTTTATATAAACTTTACGTTTGCGAGCTTGTCTAATTTAATTTTGCTTTCTATTTGCCGTAACATGCTGTTTTTGTCCATTTTTTTTTATCATAATTTCGTAGATATGTCCGTTTTTGCAGTGTACCGATGCGCAACCATTCAACTCATCCACCCCTTTGGAGCGGTTGGTCAGCCATCTTGCTGTTGGAGAAGAGATCGAAACATCGCCTGTTACTTCAAACCTCTGTGCTCCAACACCTACGGTCGCTAGCGCAACGGTAGAGTTTTTGGAGGCTTAACGTAGTGGAAGTACCACAGTTGAATAAATCACTCTCTTACAGGTTGATATTGTTCATGAAGTAAAACCAACTTTATGTCACTCTAATGGACTCAACAACGAAAATAGGTGTTTTTATCAACAGCATTTGTTGCAAGATTACTTCTACTACTCAGTAATGATAGTACTGCTAGCTTGGTAACTTCTTTTTCAGCAGTCCTGTGACAGTTCAAAACCCATCGGCAGTTTCAGTACCTTCGGTTCCTTCATCTTCTCAGCATATTACTACGATCCCGATCTTGAAAGAGGTTTGCTGGGTTTTTTTTCTTAAACCTACTGAAAAGCAGTTTCTCGCAACAGTGGTTTTAATCGTTGTGCTATTCCGAATCTTATTATGACGTTTTATTATCACAGAACACTTCTCCTACGATAGAGAAGCCTGTCGAATTCTCTGAGCCAGTTGAGGCAACGTCCGCGCGCCTTACTAGTAAAATCCCGAAATATTTGCCAACTTCATCGTGTAAGGTGTGGTATAGACTTTCCTGCATTACTACTAACCCTCCTTTCCACGTAATTAATTTTTTAGAATTAGCATGTTGTTCCGCTTAACACTTTTCACCTCCAGTTCCGTCGTTTAATTCAGGATCATGACGATGGTGCTGATGTGAAGCCATTGCCTGCGAGTACGACCGCTTTTCCTTCTTCCACTCAATCAGAGCAAGAAAGAGATGTTGAGAACGTGTCGCCACCATCTTCCACCTCACCTACTAACACCATTTCAAAGCCTAACATGGGTATTCCAAGGCCTTCTAAAATCCGTCCACCTACTACTAGATCTAAGGGTGAACCTAGCAATTTGCAGGTACAAAACGTGCACTATTTCGCATTTTCGTAGTTCATGCAAAATCTTTAAACTTTCCTAACTTTATTACTAGGTTGATTGCCGCATATCCAGAATACCACAAGTCTCAGAGAGCTGGCGGCCTACTAACGGATCTTGGTAAGTCAGAATGTTTAAAACAGTAATTAGTCTGGTATATCTTGTGTTACATCATCTCCTGGTTTGACCAATCTGGTAAAGCAGTGGTACAAGATGGCATACAAGTAATTTCCTTAATTCAAATAAAAACATTCTCGAAGCTAAATTTATGATACATAGCATGTTGTTCTTTTCTCGGTGTTATATACCCCTAAAATTTCAGCGCAATCTCCGGACAGTCTCGAATACCCATGAAATCTGGTTTTTATAAGACTTCTCGAAGTCGACTAATCACCGATCTTTAATTTGCTATACGTGCGTAGGAAATGTGTTGACGAGCTTCTGAGAATAAGTACTCTGGGTTTTGGGTAGTCTCCACTCTGGTCTGTACCAAATATCGCGTTAACATGTTCTACACATAGTAGTGTAACACCTATACCATTATATCTTTATTTTCTTTCCACAAATTGTACTTCGGAGTTAGTTCGACTTTAGTGCAATTAGTATGCTTAAATAATCACATATCAACTCGGTTTACATCCGCTAAAGTAATATTCTATTTGTATCTTGGTATCTTGTACATCTGATCTTGTCATCAATACATGTCGTCTGTATACATACATGTCGTAAAACTTCGATAAATGGTTGATCTGTAAGCTATACTCCTTACATTCTCTGATCATGCACAGAGAAGGATAAAGGATAAAGTGTACGACATTCGTCAATTCCTGAGGGACGGACCATTCATCTGAGTTCTTTGATAACATCATAAAGATGATGATGGCACTGGTAGGTACAGAACACTAGCTGAGAGAAAGGCGAAACAAAGGACGAATGTGGTAGTGAACACGTTAGTTACCAGAAAGGGTAATGGCGTATTCGATTTCCGCAGACACCTGCCGTTCGGAGTTTTGCAAATATCTCAGCATCAGTGTGGATAAAGATGATATTTGGCCTATACAATGATTTTCGGTAGCCTACCAATGTATCAAGTGAGCGTTTTTATCCTCCCAGATAAATCCGATAGGAAATTATTGACCTGAGGAAGATAGGCAGCTCGGTTTCCACGATGGCGTGAACGGACGAACGACTACATATGCCTAGCAAAGCGTTATTAGCCAATGCCCTATACGCATCACGAAGAACTGGTAAAAAGGAAAGGAAGGAAGAACACTTGAGACATTGTGTTAGATGCATCTCCATCAATGTTCATTATGCACAATTGTATTGTTAGGTGGCGGATAGCATAGTGGTAGTGATGTCCGTCATCACGAGGATGGTGCTAGTTCACTTCCACTCCGGGCCATGCCTCTCATCCCTTCGGGATCGGGAAATTGGTACCGGACTTATCTGGGAGCAAGTCACTCTCTTCAATACAATTCGAAACGATCCAGCTCGGCTATCTCAGAACTACGGGAAGAATTGCTCCACCAACATTCTACGACATTCAAGATGAAATGAATATCCTCAAGCAGCAACCGAAGCCACACGTAAAAGTTGGACGATGTTCGTAGACAATGGATGCGAGGAAACGAATCGAATGTGAGAAGTGTTGGGATCCACATGGTGGACGTGAAGACGGGTCATATAAAATACAAAAATAAATTGAATCATATTGCCACTTATAATGCACACTTTTATAAACTTTAAAACTTTTATGCTCTCATCGGGAATTCACAAAGATGCCTAAACACATACATTTATGTTTGAAAGAAATTTATAGTAGAGTATTAATAGTGTGAAATAAACATTTTTACGTATTCAGATATCTAACTGTGCGATGGATTGATAGGGGCAGTAAAGGCCTCAGCAGTCATCGGTCGATTCCTAAAAGAAGGAATTACTTAACATCAGGAGTTTTGTGCCGAGTATATTAGCATGGAATACGTGCGTATTACATTTGAAAGCGATGAATTACCTGAAGAGAGCACTAGACGATGGAAAATGGGTTGTTTTAAAGCTTCAGATGCTAGTACATTTAAGGGAAGTGTTCTACACTACATGCGAAGGGATAGATGCTAGAAGTATGAAATCACTGCAGAGATGGACAGGTACTTCACGGTATCCCACTCACTGTAACTTTACTGATCGTACAGATTCAATCGATTGTCATAAGTGATTTCTTAGCTCGATCTAAAAGCTTAGGTAGATTTAAAGATATTCTCAAAAAGCGTCGAATATACCTTGACGTTTACAAGAAGCCACGTTGTGTTCACGTGTAAGTTCGTAAATACAACGGGTATCGCACCAAACTAATAAACTAATGCCTTTTGGTTGACCTAACCATAACATAAAGTACAAATTCCTGGCTATCTCCAACCCAGTGAGATAGGGTCATTTGTTCTGAACTCATTATAAAACATTAATTCTCTGACGTTTCTCTGACTCCGCCGAATTTCTCTCCTGAATCGGTGGTCAGACATCCAGCTCCTAGACCAAAACCGACTCCTTTCGGACCATATTTTCTTCCATGGCACTGCTTGCAGTACAATTCAGCGTCATGTGGTGCAACCGTACAGGAATCTAGTAATTTGTTGCACATGTCTGAAATGTGTTCACACAAATATACGACTGAGTTTTCCACAGAGATCTGATTTCAAGTAAATGTGATTGGATTTCATGGATCTCTAAGTACACAACTTATTTGAAAGACTCAGAACATTGGACTGCATTATGAAATAAAGATATTTAGATATTTACTTGGATATCCGACCATCCGGTGAATTTTTCAATAACATAATCCTGCGATATGGGGATAACGAATCCAAGAGAAATATGTTTGGATGATTTTCCTGATCTTTAGATCCGTTACCACTGTTTCTCTTCAACATCATAGCTGAGCAATTAGATCATTATTCAATGATTTCGCTTCTTACTGTTCAGTATGAGACTTCGAATCCAACGCCATATGTGGCATACACATTGCACAAAGCTTAACTTTTCTCCACACCCGCCGAGAATTGCATTAAATTCACAGCGGCCATTTTGTCCTCTGATCCAAAAGGCAGACTATTCTCGTTAGCAACGGTCACACGGTCACATGAGCGTATACTCCTGTGTGCTTGCGCTCGCTGTGTAATATCTTGTCGCCCTCATCAAAAGTAAGAGTCTCTGTGGTAAGAGATATATTAGTGTCTTCCTCACAAGTACAAAAAAGCTTTTGTTAAATGTAAACTGTGGAATAAAGCTTCTCTCGGTTTACGCTTCCTATAAAATCTGCATTGAATAAGCTATGAATTATTCATAAAAAGCGCAACAAAAGTGTTCTATTCGACAAAATAGACGTCTGGAAGGAAAATGAACAGGTACAAGTTCACGTAGTGGTCGGGCTGACCTATATATATGAATGGAAATCAACACACGTTGAACTCTAAATGTTAAGGAACGACAGCAGATTAAATGGACGACACAAGCAAACTAGGCTTACAACATGCAATAAAACAAGGAATAAGGTGAAAGAGAGGTTAAGATTTCCAACCTCCTAATGGAAGCCAAATGAATAGGAAAGTGGAAACAATCTACTCCTTGGACGTCTCAACAAAATCGTCTCCATTCCTCCAATTACTATGACCAACTAGTCGACCCGTTTTCACGTATAGTACTGGCCTTAGAACATTTTCAATTCATTTGTTTTCGTCACCCTTATTATCCATCTAGGTGCAAAATTTCGTACACGTCTACGAGCGCCGAATCACTGGAAATGAATCGGAGCAAAAAAAAAGAAGGGAACAGACGTGAAGACATCTGCTTCACATTGCCGAAGAAAAAACAAGACCCGTGTTGATTGTGTTCCTCGAAATTACTGTGCTCGTAACGGGATCGATTTCAGTGTAGACGAATTCATAAACATCTATTATTATGGTAACATCGACTTAATTATCGAGTCTTCACATCAACGACGAGAAGCGATGACAGATGACAATAGTGTGGACGAGTCCTTATCACCTGTCACCTGTATCACCTATAGTCCCCTTGTTCGTTGACTGAATAGAGTGGACACCAGTAAAAATTTTCCATTTTTCTCTGTCGCGTGCAAGAGTAGCCCTGTGGGTTACTCTCGTTCTAGAGACTCGTTGAGCATCATATCTTTCTTCTCGACGAATCCTTTCATAAATTTAAATTTACCACACAGTGAACTCACAAAGGCCTACAACTAACTACCAGGATTATTTCGAACTATTAACTTCTTCCAGAGGAAACCTATGCCCGAAATTAGAAAGCCATAGCAACCTCAGGCTGTGAAATGTTCGGAGACGAATTCCTTAAATGATTCAACTGTTTATGGAAAATTGTTTGCATTTTAGTGGTATTTTCGATGAAAATGACAATGTCGTCAACCAGGCTGGAAACTGGATAACGATTTGGTTTCTCCATATAGTTATGTGATTTCATGCACTAGACGATGATTACAAAATATACATCAAGTAGAATAGCGTAAGAACCCTCAACGATAGGCAAAATTTCAGACGGGCTTCCACGATTGAGGTTCGTCAGATTTAACAAACAAATGAATCCTTTGCAGAATTCCACAGAATCTGTAGTAAGAGCCTCATTTGATACTTGGCACTCAGCAAAGATTTTCTTTGGAGAGATAGACATGCTCGAAGTTCGTCTAGCACATAGGTCTAGTCCTTCGTAAATTTATCATTGCTTGTATAATCACGTCCAGATAGCAATTTGTCTAGCATGAGATGATTCTCGTCCGTGGTCATATCGCTTCTTCTTGACTAAGTCAATATTATCATGAGAGGGTAATAAAGATAAATAGAGGGATAAAGCTCTCGGTGTTGATCAATCCCTAAGGGATGCGCTATGTATTCGACTTCATTAAGCATCGTTTGGAGGTGATTGAATGCATATCTGGCTTTTACATTGACTCGAGATACCCTACTGATGTATCGAGCCAGTGCTACTATCCTCCCAGACAAGTCTGGTACCAATTTGCCGACCCTGGATGGGTGGAACACTAGGTGGACCAAGGGCGCGGGGATTTAATCCAAGTGTGCGTTGCAGGGCGCCTCCGACCATTGCACCACACGCGCCCATATAATGATAAGTGGACGAGTACAATAAGATGAATACATTGAAGATGAAAGCTATTTAGAGGCAGATAATCAACAATGGCCGATTTTTCCATCAGCCGTGTGAAGTAGATGTGATCGTTTTTTTCCTATACATTTAATTACGCAGTCGCGTACGAAACTCACTCTTGGCACGAACGATGATGCTGAAAAAAGTAAACCATCGATCCTTACGTAAGCGGGATTCTCTTACTTGAATGGAAGTATTTGATATTCGGAGTGTAAGAATTCGAAAGTATCACACTGATACTTACGACCTATGATAGTTCTCCCTAAAGAAAGGAGTTCTTGAGAAACAAAAACTAAGGAATTTGTGGTGCTTGCATTCCACATATCTTCGGTACGAGAAAGGATGAAAACACGATTACGTCATCAGAGGTGACTAGACTGATAGATTTCGAAGCATATGGTAAGAAAAAGCCTACATCGCCGACACTTAGTTGTAAGGGAATCTACTTCCTTAGACTAGTAAATGTTCTGTTGCTCGTTTGTTAGATCAGTCAGTTAGGATCAAGGATGTCATTCTATAATAACGCAGTATAATATGTGATGAAGGAAGGATACAGAAAAGGGTCCGAAGACTCAACCGTGGAAGAATTCCGATATTGTATAGTCAACCACTAGACACTACCTGTTTCAGAGCCCACTAAAGTATACAGCGACAGACTTTTAACTTCAAAATATTGTAATTAGCTGAGAGACAGGCGAAACGAAGGACCCACATGGTGTGGCGGTGAACGCGTTACTCCCCGGAAAGGGTAATAGCGCGTTCGTTCTCCACCGCAGACACCTGAGGTCCGCAGTTTTGAAAAATCTTAGCAACGTTGTCATTGTAATTTTATCCCTAGCTTCCATCAGACTAATTGAAACACAGACATTCAAGGAGAGAAATTTTCCACATATTCTACGCTTTGCGACTATTTCTTTGATACGAACAATTACAAGCAAGGTTGTTTATATCTATCGAAAATTCTACTTCGTGCTGAAAGCGTTATGCATGCACGTGCTTTGGAACGGCAAACGTTCCATATTCACATTCAGATGGATTTCATGCAATCATACTGACGTCATATCAACTTCTGTATTTCCGAATTGCTCGCCGGTATCCATAGTTAGTGAGCCGGCTCCGATTCCGAATCCAACACCCTGTAAACTACTTGGAATCCCTACAGGTAACTAGCAGCGACTTACAGTACTAACTCAATCAAGAATATAGGAAAAAATTAGGTGGTGAAGCGTACGTTCTCCTAATACACCTTAGTCCTAAAGCACTTCGTTATCCTTAAACACTACAAGTTTTCTGTGCTTCACCCCAGATTGGTAGAGTTTGAAAAAACTCGTCATTCAACAAGACCTTCCAAAGACGAATTCGCCTTAAACTTCTTCATATACAGAAAATTCATAATCTTCGACACAAGTTGGCGAAAAGTTGTAATCGCTGCTTATCTGTTGCATTTAGTATTTTGTGTTACCAGTTCTCAAGAACGTCTCCGGTAGCTGAAGTAGAACTGATAAAGAAAGCGCAAACGACAAACCTTCGGTCCATACCGTCGGCAGTGACATTGCTTGCAAAACAACTCGGCTTGATGTTCACAACATGTCATTGAATCCAGTAACTTATTGCACATAGCTGAATACTTAACTCACACAAGCCGAACACCACAAAGCAATTCCTATGCTCAGCGAACGGTGTCAAAGCACGATACCAGAAATAAGAACTGTCTATAGACCGACGGTGAAGAACTGCTTGAAACAGCAGACTTTCACCAGCTGATTTGCCTTTGTGCATTATAGCAGCCACCGTGTTTCCACCGCCTTTAGCGAAGCATAGGACCAAATCCAACGAAAAAAAAACAAGTAGAAAATTAAGACGAACATTTAAAGCATATATGAGTAGGCAAAGCAGAACAACGTCGATAGTGTAATTAATGCATATTGATTATTGACATAAAGCGATCAATGCGCATACTTGACTATGAACCAGCGGGCCTCAGCATGTTAGGGGTCACAGAGTGTAACATAAACACTAACACTAACCATGAAATAACACTTCACTTCACATACACAATACAACATGATAAAAAACGGAGTTAGTGTCAAATAAATGCATTGGACTGACTACATGTCTTCCTAGTTTTCTAACGACGAGGAAAAAAGTAGTGGTCATGATTTGATCTTTACATTCCAGAGATTCTGGAATTAGTTTAAGCCGATATTATGAACCCTCTGCCTCAACTTAGTCCACTTTATTTAAAAAATGTGGTTGTAACTTCCTCAGTGTCATACGAGTTTCGGTAGAGACTTATGGCTTGTTGCTTAGAAAGTTATCCAAATTCTTTTAAACTTAATATTTGGTCGTTCTTTTAAGAGGTCTTACGATAACGGACGCCCCATTTTCCCAAAGAATCTTGCGGATTTCAATGAAATTCCCATGTCACTAGTATTTTTCTGGTTGCGGAAGTTCGGACTTTCATAATCCACGAAAAACCGGTTCATGGCACTTTCAGGATCTCACCACAGCAGTTGTCGGCTCTTATGGATCAGAAGCAGAGTTTCCAGAATGTGGATGGATTTCACTCATAATACCGTATTCCGAGCCGAATTTCCGGATGGAAATGTCGTACTTCTGAGCCTGGATGGCGCAATGAAGGATAAGCCTCACTGTATGGCGAAAACTATGAGCACTTTCTTCCTAAGACAGAACGGCAAAGCACTTTGAAAGGCTTTGGAAGAGCTGATGACTGAGAACCGATTAAATCTGTGTTTGCACAAATCGTTAGGGCTACTGGAACAGAAAACAGAAAACCTTGTACAAATTTACTGCCATTCTGAGCTTACAATGCACTCATATTTTGAGTATATTGCTAATTCGGTTCCTTCGAAGGTTGTAAGAAGGACCAGTTGTCTCGCATGACTAGGCATTTGAAAACATAAGAAACGAAATAAGAACACATAGCAACTAAACTATGAAATACTTCTCGTCCTCAGAGAGCAACTAGAGACCGAATCCTCACGAGAAACTTCATAGTACTGAGACAAAAAACCCTGCGAAATGTCTGCAAAGTCACTTTCTTCGTACCTTCAGCGGCCCCATCTTTTTAGAAAGACGATATAATGGATACTTCTGGAGAAAAAAACGTATTAGCAGAACGCAAATAAGGTGCGATAGCCGAACAATATCGCCGCCCATCTATTGTGGATGTGAGGGCCATTGCCTACGACTTTCACAGAACGTCTAACAATTTGCAACCACATTTTATCGATCATCCGAACATCTTTTATGCTAAGGGTCTCCAATGTAAAGCAACTAAAGAAGTAAACTGAACTCCTCACAGGAATTGGCTATATGAGTTGGACTGCAGCACTTCAACAAAGCATTAAGAACAACTGTGAGCGTTGGCAAAGTCTGAGATCAGAAGCAGCAGATATAGGGAGGGGGTCGTACTCGCTAGTTGCACAGAATGTAAAGTGTGACACCAGGAGGGATGGAGCTCAAAGTAAGACGGAAAGTCTAGTATGAACCGCTTTTAGGCCTCTTCAGGAGTTCTTAAATGATTGACACAGACCATTGCGTTCACCTACATAAATCGACAGTCTATTCGTCTCAATTCCGTAAAAAATGGAGAAATGAGTTAACACGATAGGCCAACACACGTTTGATTTTGCACACCCCAAATAAAGTCCACGAAGAGGTGGCCTTCTATGAAATTATCGTCGTAAGCAATGAGAAGCCAACTAGTACGAAAGCCAATCTCAAGCAATGTTTTCTCTTTAGGACCTATTAACCTTTCAAATAGAGTGGACCGTCGATATCATAAGGAAGAACAAAATAGACTACCGGAGGATTTTGGTAGAGAAGTAGTAAAATTACGAATTTTCTACGTTTTACTTTCCGCCGAAACGTCAGCTTGTTTCTGAATAAAGAATAAAAATAACACCTCGCGTTTGCTCAAGAAAATGAAGAATTACTTGATCAACGCCGAGGTTAATAGAAAGTCGGTCGTGGGAGTTTCTACGTTTAGTTCGGAAATGTTTATTCACACTAAAAGAAAATTTGCATAAAAATGACCTATGGCTGTTTCGCATCGTATTCTTGTTTTCAGACCCATTAAAACTAAGTGACGTCTTAACGGATAGTCGGACAACCGTGTCATTGAAAGCGCTCCGATCAACAACTAGAGCGAAAGCACACAACTACTGGATCAATTCCAATCAACAAAGAACCACAGAAAGTTGCGAGAAGTGCCGAATAGTGTTACATTATATCTCCACTTGTAATTTTGGAAGTTAAGAAATCCCACCAATTCCCAGAATATTTTATCGATTACTGAACCGGTTGTGTTTACTGCTGGAAAGCGCGCTTTGGTACTGCTTAACGATAAACAAGTTTAGTGGCCCAATGAATCTGTTGCAGAAAACGAAGTAAATTCCGACATTCAATCTTCCTGAATAAATTGGACGTTCGGTATTTTTCTAAAAATTTCATTCTTTTCCATAAGAAATCTCATATTCGCCGAAATTCCACGACATGGGAGTATTACGTTCCAACTCTTTTATACCATCCAGGTACTTCTGCGGTTTGCTAAACAGTTATAGTAAAGAAAGTTGTCACAAGGTGCTCAGACGTTCAGATAGTTCAGCCTCAACTGATCCTCAACACTTCTTCCATTCGCTTTGAAGCCAACTACAGAGGTGGTAGGGATCGCTGTGAGATGAGGATGTACGGATTTCTCTCTTCATTGAAGTATAGAATGCCGGTTGGAGGTACGCTTTTGTTAAAATCCTAGATAGCCAAGCTAGACTGTTCACATGTCTTCATAACAAACAGTCGATAGCTGTTCCACATCAAGGATCGCTTCTTTACGACTAGAATTCTTCAAAGACTTCACTGATTTCTGGGATATTTGTGCTTTCATAAGAGGAACGCAATGTCAAACGAGTAGGTCGCTCGTCCACTTTCGCTCGACGGCTGACCTCGGCCGAATGTCGCACAGTTGTTTCTCATTCCGTACATCAACGCCATTCCTTACGATATACGCGAATATTACAATCATCCACAAAACGCTAGCCATAACGACGTCAGTCAGACTGAAGTCAAATGAGCTCGTTAAAATGAATGGTTGCTTCAGTTTGAATCACACTGACATATAAGCACAAAAAACTCCAAATAAAAGTCACTGCATATTAAAACGTGAATTGCATTAAAGAAATATCAAACCCTCTGGTTTTTTCTTTAGAATATGAGGTACTACTGGTCGCTTTAGCTGTTAACTAACAATGTTTAGCTTAGTGATTTTGTCCAAGGAAAAACGTCGAGGTACCAGATTACAACCTCCTTGGTTGACACTCTGTCTCAATCGACATGAACGAGGTAGCAAACACAGCATTCAGGAAATCAGTATCAACGTTATGGTGCATGGGAAATCTGCAGCAGAATTACACTAAGTGAATTGCAGCTGTTTTTGTGTCATTAAAGAGAAGAATTAGTTTTGTCAAGTGGGCAAAATGCGAATGAAGCGTATCTTTCAAATCTCATAGCAAAGTAACCCATTTAGGGAGATAGAGAGATCTAGACAATATATTCCAACGATACACCCCGAATACAAAGCACGGATATGGCATTCACCTGAGCGACCAAATATTCATCATTTTTTTAAAAGATATTATTGAGTATGACTATTAAGTATGACTGTTTGTGAGAGACAAACTTTTATTTTAAACTTCAAGATCAACTAATCCTCTGCAATTTTTCACCAAGAAATCCCAAACTAATTCCTTTCCCCTTTGCTTACAACTTTTCCAAAAATTAGGGCCCTATACGAAAGTTCCTCCCAACCGTTTACCGCCTCATCGTGGCTGGGAGGTGTTCCTGGGTATCGGACTGCGATATACAGCGGTGGGATTCGTACCCCGGCAGGATCTCCCAAGCTGAAAAGGAGTCCGGCATTTCCATTAGGAAGCCTAGCTAAGAGTAAACCAATACCATGATCTGCCACCGTCCTGGTTTCAAAGTCGCATGGTAGGGAATCTCCCTCTGATCCACGAGGGCTGCGACTGCCCGTGGTGGTGAAGACCTGGTACAGACTTTGGCCAGGCTGACCTCGGGATTCCAGGAAACCACAATGGCTTAACCAGCAAGTCTCCGAAAAACAGTGATTATGCTGGAGCCCGCACAACCAGTGAGGGCGAGCCGTTCAAATATCAGGTATCAAGTATACGAAAGTTTAAAGTCGATAAGACGACTGGAACATGGGTACAACCACGGCAATGAACAAAAAACTCTACGTTGAAAACAATTCCTTTACCAAATCTGCCAAATAATAGAGTTTAAGATGTTCATTTTTTTAATGAGAAATATGTCCACAATAAAATCAATAAATCGATAATCGAACAACGCACTGCATTTGAAGCAGAATTTATGCCACTTGTATCCTCCAGCGGCCATTTCTTCTGCAGCGTAGACAGACTTTCCACATTTCGGACATTTTGGATGTTCTACGGGTTTGAAAGGCATCTGGAATCGTCCACATAGACATCGATCGTAAAAAAGTTCACGCTGAGCGAAGTGTAATAGTTACGAAGAAAAGCAAAGTGAGAAGATGAGAGGAAATCATACTAAAAAAATTTTTCAATAACTTAGTTTTCTACAGTTTTTCCTTTCACTCAAAAATTGACTGGAAATCGAGGTGCAGATCCGTAGTAGAACGACCATGGTCAAAGTGCGGGCAGGAAAGCTCGTCCACAAGGATGACGATGTATAAAAGTGAAATGAATTCCTATATATACATAGATGCTAGCCGTCATTAAAACTTGTTCACATAGTTTTCAAACAACTACGATTTTAATTGAAAACCTACGATGGGGGAAACTCGTACCATGGATGCAAACGGATAAATTCTAGTCTGAGATGATTATGATGGAACGAAGAGAAATGGAAGATCAAAAAAGACCATATCCAAAAGGATTCCGTTATATGCGGAAAATTAAAATTAGATTATAAAGGAAAAAACATGAATAGAGTAAAAAAAGAACAAGAACAATCACCAACAACATCGATTCATCAGGAAAAAAAATTTCAGCCAATTGATTTTAACGAAGGCACTTGTAAATCCTTACGACAACAATTGTCCGTGAAGAAGAATCGGAAAGTAATGGGGATTAGTGAGTGTGTCAACGACGACACAAAGTGACAGTAGAGAGTACGATCGTTCCTGTAGGCGGAGCGTCACCAGTGCAAACAAAACATCCGCTCCCTCAAGACCTCCTCCGGAGGATCGAACCGTGATTATCTACGTCGAACAGTCGATTGGTTCTAGTTTGTGTCCATACAAAGAAGAATTGAATGCTACGTATCAAATGGGAGAGTGTAGCGCAGTGGTTAGGTGCTCTGCAACACATACGTGATCGTTGGTTCGATCCCGCACCCCAAGGTCACCAAGTCTTTTATCACTTCGAGACTGGAAAATTGGTACCACACTTTTCTGAGATGATAGCAACATTGGTTCACTACATCAGTAGAGTCATTGTATAGGCCATATATGCACACAATCACATCTAACGATGCTTGATGAAGTCGAATACGCTGAACATCCCTCACAAATTGATCAACGCTGAAAGCCTTGTCCATCTTTAATCGGTAGATTTTTAATGGTTTTGAATTCGAAAATGATGAAAACTTCTAGGTAATAAGCGATGAATTAGTAAGCATTTTATTAATTGCACGCAATTTGATATCAGTTAACCGTTGGCTACCTCAGTGATTTACTTATCTTTGAGATCAACGTGTTGAAGATTTTGTCATTTCATGAACTATAATGGACCTCCAGTAATGCGATTCCTTCTCGATCATCCTCAGTATATTAAAAAAAAAGGATAAGAGATAAATGCCTCGGTGCTGACGCTGAGGAATGCGTCATTTAGCACCGTTTGGAAGTGATTGAATGCATATCTGGCCCTTACAATGACTCACTGCCCCTTACCTATGTGTCGAGCCAGTGCTGCAATGCTCCCAGAGAAGTCTGCCACCAATTTTCCGATCCTAGCGGGATGGAGGACTTGATGAGCCTGGGGCGCGAGGATCGATCTCATGTGCATGGCAGAGCGCCTGTGATCACTGCGCTACACGCAACCCACTCAATGTATTATGACGTATAAGACCTCATTGGGAAGACTAAATGCAGTGGAAAATGGCCAATCCGTGACAAATTTCACTGAGGTAAATTCGTCATATAGAGACCTATGCACCGCTAATGATACTCTCCTCATCCAGTAGTTTTCTGACTCATCGTGGCTGGAGGTGTGAAACTGCCACATATTAGTGAGTAACCCAAAGGAACTAGGGTCTCGTTCAAACTAAGGAGCTCGGTAATTTTATGTAGACACTCATCTAAGAGTAACTTTCAAGCACAATATTGGGTGGATATCTACTTTTTTCAGTGATAAGCTTACATGAGGTTATTACGAAAAGTATTCATTCGGCTAACGTTTCGACGTCTTCGTCTTCTATTGAGCCGCGATTATCTGGTTCGATGCTCCACAGTGTCTGCTGGATAGTTTCTCACCTAGAACGGTAGTAAAAAAGGCACTATACCGAAAATGTTGAGTCCGCATTTACCTTTGACTGAACAGTTGGATCGCAGAAAGTAGGATTTAGAGCTTGAAGAGAACCAATGGGATTTCCCGGCACTGGTTCAAGTTAATCAGTGACTAACAAAGCTAGAGGTAGCTGGCGACAGAGGAAACAAGCGAGGGCGAGTCGATTTCAGTGTTTCATCACTCACCAATCTTCTCCCATGACACCGATCCTGGAGACATAATTGATTTTAACTAGTAGGAGGCAATGCGTCAACGTTCGTCTGATGGAAAGACGTGCTCTCAGTACTCCAGAACTTTAAAACGTCCTCAGAAAATATTCGAGAAAGTGCCATGTACTTAAGTTGGAGGGAAAAGTTCTAAATCCATTACATCCGAGAAAATAAGCCAACTAAAGAAGAATTTCCGCGCGTTTCTTAAGCAACTAGAATGCATCTGTTCCTGAATCGCTAAACGCTCTTGGTGGTAGCAGAGACTGCAAGTGTGCTCTAAGAATATACAAGCAAATTGGAGCAAATGTTGTTCTCAATCTAACCCACTTCTAAGCACCTCAATCTAACCCCCTGTTAGATATTTTCGCACTGTTCCACGATTAGTCTTAATTTGATTATATCCCTACCATAGCTCACAACATAATGTTTTGGTTTCAGTGCACATGTGTGTTGTCTTTCAATTTTTAACAAGTATATCTCAGCTCGTGGAAGACTCTATCGATCCAAGTGAAGTGAACAGGATATAAAGGACTTTGCAAACAAGAAGAAAACTTCCTCATAGTGAAATTTCGAGTTTTTGAAGGCCACAAATTACTCTCCTTTCGTTTCACTTTTTCGTTAAGGTTCGTATTTTGAGTAGAGAAGCGACTGAACAAGCCGGATTTCGTTGGACAGAACGCAATGACGTCATCGATTATTTCGTGGATGTTTGTGAATGCTGGGCTTGCAGTAGAAATTTCAAAAATTTGGATGATTCTTAGAAAATTCCTGAAAATATGCATATGTTTTACTTGAACAATTTAAAGATAAGTATAGTCTTTAGGTCAAAGAGCAAGGTGTGTTCTACAAATTTGTCAAGTTCACAAATATTTTTGTTATTTAAGAAATCGTCAGCAGTTATAGAATAAACCACTACTGTACCGAATGTGTTAAACACGGATGAGCGGAAAATCTACGGAATACGAGGAAAATTTTGAAAAAATAACATAACTTTTCAGTGTCGGGTTTTAAATCACCTATGGCTTGATGACCGTCACAATATTGATCGATTTGTATAAAATACACATAATCACCTCATTTTTCAAAAAGGAATGTTGGTTTGGAGAAACGAAGATGAACGAACGTCGGAGAAGACAAATGTCAATACTGAGCAACTGCTCGCAACCAATGCTGTTTTCACGGGCACCCTCGACACAAACCCGATGATTGAATCATATCCAGCGATCAATACGTATACTTAGTGTGCAGCAGCATAACAGAAGCATAGTGTATAAAATATGAAGGATAATGTCAATTTCGAAAAAGAAGTGGGAAACTTTTTGAAGGAAATCGTGTGAACGTAAGGAAAAAAATGGGAAATGAAGGATGGTTCTATCAAATTACCAAAAATCTGGGAATTTATAACGCTTCAAGGCCAGCATGACTCGTTTCAATACTTTTGGCCAGTCAACCTACCAAATGTAAGAACTATCGTCCTGACGAAATCTGATTCACAAAGAATCGAAACTCTCTCCGATTGACAAAGTCTAGCAACTGCTTGTGGCGATAAGATGAGAACGCTCTGGCATGACTACGTCGACATTCCTAGGAAACGACTGTTCCATCAACATTAAACATATCACCGAGAGAGAAGATGACCGGTCCTCAAGTCGCAACTAATTAGGCAAATCCATTGACAACGGTTGCAACGCAAAGAATCGAATGTAGTAACTGTTGAGAGCTACACTTCAAAAGCACGCGCGTAATCTAGATGACTCAGAGCCAGATTTATTCCAAATCAAAGGTTAGTACACGTTTTCGGAAGCCCCCCTTTGAAATAGCGTATAAATCATTTTTGATGCAAGTGAACTAATTGCGTGATTTCTCGGGCAAAAAAGAAAAGAAAAAATGATAAGTAATAAATAGACACTTTAGGGCGCAAGTATTGCACAGTGCTAGTGATGCCGTTCAATGTACGTAAGGCCTTGGCGCGACCCCGCCCGTTCCAAACAAGCCTCCATTCCACGGACGTAGGGAGATTGGTACTGGACTAGCCTGGGATCAGCTCGCTCTGTGCGATCCACGAAACTGGGAAAATGCATGATATGAAGATTTCGGACGACCTTAAAACGGCTATCCGATAATTCCAAGAAGGGCTAACTAAAGGCAAGAAGTGCGCTGCCCGAGTACGCTACATTGTGTTTTGTAAAATAAGAAATTAATAAATGAATGCCTTCACTTTAACAAGTATTCTGAAAAATTTAGCGGTTATTTGTTAAGACGAGACGTAGGCGGTCGATGTCGAAATTTACTCAAAGACCTGTCATATGCTATGCGAAAGCAAACAAATTAGAAGGAAGTTCACTGTACCAAGAAAACGGAGGTTTGTGTTTGGTCCAGAATATACCCGGAATAAATTTTAAGCCAAAAATAATGTCCAGAATATACAACTGGAGAACCATCTCACTTTAGGTCACAGAAGAAGTACTACCTTATTTAACATTCTCAGCACAAAATAGCGTTATTATGAAAAGCAAGAAAACATGGTAAGAAAAAAGAATAGATTCAATGAATAACTGATATCTTTGCTTAAGTACGTTAGCAAGGAATTACACAACAGAAATTCAACTGAGTTTTCAACCTTTCTGTTTACTCTCTATTCTTTTTAATGGCAGGGTATGTTATAAAATATAGTATGAAATATAACTTGTATAATGCTGAGATATTTGCA